TTAGGGCAGCTTGCCCACAGAGAGTATTGGCTTGCCTTTTGGAATTTGGGGTTGACTTCGAGCTTATAAATGTTGACCTCGACTCCAACGAGCATAAACAACCTGAATTTCTACAAAAACAGGTAAATGTTGTTCACGGTTAACGCGAAATAGTTATCTTTAATCTTTTGTGTGAATTGATGAAGAGCTTTCTTGTAGCCTTTCGGACAAGTCCCAGTTATTGAAGATGGCGATTTTCGGCTTTTTGGTAATGAGATATGATGTTTTTACTTATAGTATAGTTCACTGTTACCAGTGGGTCAATGGCCCAGTATCCGAGTTACTCGTAGATCCTAACTTTCTTGGAGGTCAAGGGTTCAAAGTCCATCAAAGGCGACATTGTGTGTGAGTTTTGTTGTATATAAATATTATATACTTCTGAAATATAATCCACTTTTAACCAACTTGTGTAGAATCTAGGGCAATCATGAGGTATTATGCAACAAAATACGCCGATAGAAATCCAAAACTCTATGGAACGAMTCTAGATGAGAAAGCGTTGGTTGACCAATGGCTAGAAGTCGAAGCACATCACTTCAACGACATGGTTTACACGATCGTTCTTCAAAAACTCGTCATCCCAAAGATGGGAGGGAAACCCGACTTAGCCCTAGTACAAAATTGCGAAAAAAAGCTTGAGAAAGTGTTTGATATATACGAACAACAACTTTCAAAGAATAGGTACCTAGCCGGAGATTGTTTCACACTAGCCGATCTGAGCCACCTTCCCGGGATTCGGTATCTGATAAATGAAGCTGAATTAGGACACATGGTGAAAGGGAAGAAGAACGTGAATTCGTGGTGGTGCGACATTTCGAACCGAGTTGCTTGGAAAAAAGTCATGCAACTAATGGAGTGAGTTAGTTGGACTGAATTCGGAGTTTCTGTATTTGCAAACAAAAAATAAATCGAACATTTCAGGTTTACAACTCATTAGTGAAGTTATGATGGATATATATTCTATATTATAAAACGTTCAGTATAAACTTTTAAAAACAACTCATTAAGCATTATGTTTTCGCTCATTAATTCATAATCTCCTAATATTGATGTTTACAGCTTATTACTAAATATGTATGCATATATGTATATGCATACAGCTTATAAAAAAAGCTTCATGCTTGAACTCCATAAACACATTCATATATAGGTGAGGCTCGCAAACGGTGGCAATAATTGATCTCCCTAATGTGATGGTATTGTCGAAGTATATGGTTGGGTYGCTATGGATTTGAGTTTCTTTTGGATGATCGTCGTTTCAGCTTGCGTACACCTTAACATAACTCAYGAAATCCTGAAATTAATAGCTATGAAATTTTTTAATGGTCTTGAGGAACTCAACATGTTGACCATTCGTCAGCAAATTCAAAATCTTCTTTTTTTTGAAGTATATAATATTTATATACGACAAATGCAACAAATAAACTCACACACCCTCCTCACTT